TGGTAAGGTAATGTATAATATATTTTACACACATACTAGATATTACTTTGAAATGATCCAGCATTGGAAATTGTGAAGTTCTTTGATGGAAATGCGCCTGCATAGTTGTAATTTGTTTTATACTATTTATTTTTTTCTATTTTTCCAAACATATAAAGATTTTAGAGTCACTAACAAGTAATAGTTGTAAGATGTTGTCACATTCAATATTTGGATATTTCATATCCAATTCTTAATTTGTATTGAAACTTTGTATTTTTTATACAACCCACTGATTCATCTTCTCTATTATGACAAGGTGGAGAATGTGATAAATCTATTTTCACTTTTTTTTCGCACGGCAAAACGGCCGAAAAACGACTTGTGATAATTACGACAAATTTAACACCGATCGCAGATCGCCCAGTCTAAAGACTAAAGTATCATGTTTAATGTAAATAAAGGTCAGAAAGGATTTTTTTTTAAAGATATATATAATTAAATGAACTCAGATGCTACTTTTTCAACAATAACTATTTTTTTTTCGCTACATTTAGTAAATGTATCGTGTAAAGTTACCGTTTATAGTCCACCTTTCAAAACAAACTAGAAATTATCAATGGTCATATCTATATATATTTACTTACCCTTGTGCACAACATTGTCCGAGTACCTTGAAATTGTATTCCAATTACTTTCATCGTTAACGTGTCGAATTATATATAGGATTTAATCAGCAGTTCGCCGGCTGTTGACGACATTGCTCACGTGTCCAACCCATCTCTACTAATTACCTCTATTTATAATAGCAGCTGGGTGCGACATTTACGTGCCAAATTCACGCTCGGCAGCCTGTAATGTCAAGGTGTATCATTCTCTCAAATATTGCTATTTTTTTTTTAAACTGTACCAGATATTTCTTTATGAACTTACTGTCAACTTCATAGCCACTTTGAAAGTTTGTCTTTTGTTCACAAAGATACTGATTCAGCTTTTCATAACCACGTTTGTTTTAGTGAAAACAATACTGTATTTGAAGAATTAGATGTCCATGTTTCATTTCAGAAAATTCGTAGCGCTTTACGGTAAATCACATGGACATGATGGCCTATTAAATGAATGTTTCAAAACTTGCGAAAAATTGCTTCTTCCAACCCTTTCCATATTATTTAATAATATTCTTGAATCTGGTTACTTTCCTTCTAATTTATGTAGGAATTACCGAAATTTAAGAATGAAATATATAAAACCTTGTTTAATGGCGAATTCCTTCTATGTATAAACTTTTACCATTGCTTAGTGTCGATAACATAAACGATCTTCATAAACTAGCAAGTTATATATTTGAGGCAAATAATGTACGACGATAATTGATATAATTATTATTATATCTCATATCTATATTAACTAGTCAGTGTGTAAATTATAAGATTATGACGAATATATATGGCAGTCATTTCTTGTTACGTTAATAACACTGTATTTGTTGTTGTCGATGTATTCATTAGTTCACTATGATGCACGGCTATTCTTGAATGCATATTATGTATATTATGCTATGTTATATGCCATTTGTATTTGTTATGTATCCAACAGGTTGTAAAAACTTACGGAATAATATTAAACTGAATACACCTAGGAATACTCTGTTGACCAGCGTTGAAACGGAAGCTGTTCACCAGGGCCAATATTTGGAGTTAGACATTTGGATATGATTTGGACGAGCGGACCACGGACGAAAGGCGATTCTAACAATTCATCATTTGATGATGATGGACTAATAAATACCGTAATATTACGTCATCGAAGAAAAATTGATAAACAAATCTAAAATCCTAAACGAGACTTGGGAGGATTTCTTCATTTTATAAATTCTATCAAATTTCTTATTTTTGTGATTTTTATGATTTTTATGTTTCCGTACTTAGCTCGGGTCAAGAAAACCTCATGCATCTGTTTATGGCTGAAAATGGAGAAAGGTATGTACTTTTTATATCAGTTTATATTTATGTACCCTCTGTTCATTAGAAATATGTATTATTTTATAATATACATAGAAAAGCAATGCTAATATACGTATTTTTATCTGTTAGGCCGTGGTATTCAGTATCAGATATGTGTAGACCGCTTGCTTTGAATTTCACACTTGTGTACGTGCGATGGATAAATCTCGTGCTATTACGATAAACTTAGATAAACAAGTCACCAATCTCGGAACTCATTATATCTTTTATAGTATACATGTGCCCGGTATCTTTATTATTCAAATTCATTAAAACATGAGATTATTGTTATTACTACTAAACCATGTATACAATGCCGATCGAAAGTAGGAAGTGATAAATGCTAATTTTTGACGAGGAGGGAAGACAACCAAAACAAAAGAAAAAAAACTAAAACATCGTCACTGTTATCTCTTGTAAGGGAGAACCAGAAAAAAATTATCACTAAAATAATCCCAAAGCTGTTCACAGCATTGGGCGTTGGTGTAATAGTAGCGATAGTGTTTCATTTGATAAACGTTGTGTTCTTGTCTTATACAAAGTTAAAAGAAAGAGGCTAAATCCGATCGCAATTAACCATTAATTTTTACATGGTGAAGATGCAACTATATGAAGAAGATTTCTGAAAATATAAGCCTTTTGATTGGTCGCTTTATTTTTGGCAAAATTGTTATTTTTACAGTCTAAAAAGTATTTTTTTGTGGAAAATGATTTGAAATCACAACAAAATGATAAGAGGAAATAAATTTTTGCTTTTGAAATAATAAAAGAAAAACAAAAATACACACATAGCATAATGTTATGAAACACAAGTAAAAATTTCAGACGAAAGTTCATAGAAATATCTTTTATCTGCATTTTAAAATCTACACATGAAACTTCTCCGGGGTTTATGTCATTATCCACCATGAGCCATTTTTTTCAAATGATAATTATTGCTATTTGTCGAAGATGTAGCATCTTTAACTTGACATATACGCTTAGCCATATATGTGTACATATAGTGTCAGATGTTTAAGAACCAGCAATTGCACGAGATGGTCATCCCAGTGTCAAATGCCCGATACACGAGTCGAAGTGGCGTCACAACAGAAATTAAAACTTGTTTATTACGAATGGTCGAGTGTCCTTACACTGAAAGTTCTATAATAAGCATCAGAAACAACGTATTGGTCGATAAAAAATAGACTAAACAAAACTTCGAAGAACACATTCGCCCAACAGAATTTAGCTGATCGATTCGACATAGAAGAAAAACATGCAGATATGTTAGTGCGTATCTTTGAATGCCAACATCTTTAATCCCCTACAGGGCAGTTTGTTGTCATAGTAATTACAGTACTTTCTTTTTAAGGATTATCAGATCCAACAGGTGAATTTACCTGTAAAACTTCACCTGTTGCACTCAACAACTGGTATTACTTTTTTTGAAAATTTATGTTTATGCTACTTCTTTTTACATACAACTATTAAAGGATATGTTTAAACAATAGTCACATTTTAGATGATTGCATTCTCATTAGTATGAAGAAACCTATTTAATATATCTTGTAAACGGTTTGAATGTCCTAATATGTTGTTTTATTTTGAATGTAATATTGCTGATTTTGTAAAGCTAAGATAACAAATTTTTAAATTATCTGACATTTTATATTAATGACTTTATTCACATATACATTGTACCATGTGTTTGTGTACACATATTGTATTGATGGGCCCTTAGGTCAAAAGTTAATGAAATTAAATGGAACAGAAATGACTGTTGATCATTTTGCATCGATGATAGAGAAGATTTGATATCAATTATCAGAAATGTGACATTTTCTTAAACAATAATGACAAACGTTTTCTCTTTATTCCAAATACCCTAGTTTTATTTCAAATACTTTTCTCTTTATTTTGAAGTTCTATTACAGGTACTTTTCTCTTCATGTCTTTATGGTTTTAGAAATATGTTCGTGTGTAGTGCTAAATCATCCAACATAATAATCTTATCCATTTATATATGTTTTAGTGCTTAATGAAGTCAAACTTAAATATTCAGTATTTTTCATCAAACAAATTTTATCTGTTTAGTCAATATCTCAATTAAGTGAAGATAGATTGTGAGAAACACAGGTAAGTCCCAGGTAATAATCCAGGTACGAAAAGGGTAGCTTATATGAATCACTATATAATTGCCTTGTCCGTGTTTCCTAAAACAACACCATCATATTGTTAAAAAATGTTGGCACTCGGAGAACACCCAGTATGTTATATATATTTTGTCTGGGTTTTTTTTTATATGACATCAGGTAAGTGTAAAGTACCTAATAAGAACGTTCAGCCAATGACAGCCCCGCTTAGGTGTTATTACACGCGTGTGATCACAACAAATGAAATGCTGATGTTTAGAAATACAGAACGCATTTCCTTCCTTTTAAAGTTTATTACTTTTTTCACTTTTTCCATTCAATTTATTTTCTTTACAAGTGATGTGCATTTCGTGATATGAGTATGTACATAGGATATTTTGTGAAGGAAAATATCATGTTTTTTTTTGCAATGTACTGATTGGTCGAAATGTCTAAACGTATTTATACCTTTCAAATCCACCAGTCTGTCATCTTTAGTAAAATATACAACAAACAACAACTGGATCTCTGACTGGGTTATAAATGAAGATATTATTATTATTATTATATATATATACCGAGAGACAGAGCCACGCTCGCCACTTGTCTTTCTCATCCTCGCCAAAAATACATCTTATATTATAAGACACAGACCATATATTCTGTTTATCCTGCAACATTGATTGAAAATTAGAACATCAAAACTTACGTTGAATTTTGAATTTTGCCTGATAACGTACGCCAAAATAATTGCTTCGCGCAGAAATATAGTTCCAAACTTCAACGGACATGACGACGACTTTATGAATTTTCGTAAATAAACTTGTTTATTACATCATATAAAATCGTTTATTGATATTGTTAAACGTAATTTTTAAGAAATTCAGGAACTGATTCTGTCGAGTTCACACACATGCAATAAAATAAGACTATTTTCTGTCATTGCCGCTTACAGCAAAATACATGTGGCAGGCGTATTCCGACAATGGCACCGCCAGCTGCATGATAAATATATAACATAGGCTTGTATGTAGCACTAAGACGTAAGGTTTTATAAATCAATCACTAAGACGACAACTGAACATTTAATAAAAAGAGAAGAAATAATCAGACAATATGAGAAATTTCAGGCATTCCCAGTTTCATACCAAAAGCAGACGATGTGCATTTACAATGCGATAAGTCAAAATCAACTGTTTGGATACATTTGAATTCATCTATTCATGTACAAAATGACAATTATCTGACAATGTTTTAAGATACATTTAGCGATATCCCAATCGCACAAAACATCAGTATCATCAACAAAGACGGTTGACATATTACTGCGGCCTGAACAAGTCCTTTTGGCTCAACACTAAAATCCATATATGCCTTTTCACCGATAGCACTCCGCATAACAAAATAGTTCCATTTGCTATTGTTCTGATGGGAAATATATCCTAGTGGTCTACTAGTAAACCATAAGTTCTTGTCCTCGTCTATAGCTAATGATGGAATCCAGTTCAATTCTTCACTCGTGATTTCAAGGGACTGTGATGCGTAAGTAACGTTGCTAGGCAAAGGTAGATTGGCATCTTCAGTGTCCAACAAAGACCATTTGTAAATAGCACGAGGGGCACTGTAGAAAAGGTTTCTTTCCTGGCTACAGTACAAACTTTCTCCCAGAGAACGTTTATTCCCAACCTTCTGGTTATTGAAAGCGAAAAATACACTGTCATGTTTGAAATCCCTCAGCACTGATGTCGGAATCCGAAACAAGCGAAGACCGGCCAAAGCTGTGTAATATACAAACTTAAAATCTGGCGATATTGCAATGCCACGTATACCCAGGTATCTGAAAGTCTCAGTCTTGTTAGAAATTGTTATGTTAGAAATTCCAGGTTCGGGATTCATCGATGGATGAACGAAAGAGTATGAGTAGTTCATATTATGGTTGTACACAATCATTTTCCAGTCGTACGTATCTGTTATGTACGCATGCGTTACTGCTTGATCAGTAAAATCCAAAACCATGTCACTGAGATAAAAGTTTCCGTATCCAACAACGAGACCAGGAAAATAGTGTTCATGTAACACCGTGTTGTTGATTAAATCAAATATTACGAGTTTTGCCGGACATTTCAAATTACCTTCAGGCCTGACGGTGTCGTCTGGGTAATATCCGGTATCAACTATCCACATCCATCCCGTGTTGGGATCAATTTCAAATGCATTAACGAACCGGAAGTGATCGCATGTGATGCCTTGGTTTATTTCCCAATTCGGAAAAGGACGCAGCAGTGGCGAATCGGTGTTGTTTTGTTCCACTACAATATTAAGTGAAGAAGGAACACCTTTGCGCAGGCGCGGTACGGTGACGTAGACACTTCCGTTAAAGACTCTAATGTTTCCCAAACGGTTGTTGTCTTTTATGTACGAACCGTTGGCTACAAACTGTTTTCTGGTTTCCGTATCCGGCCATTCATAGTCTAATGATTGCCATCGGTATATGACGTCAATGTCAATACTACAGCATATTTGTGCGCTCATCAAAACACACAAAACACTGCACGTGAGATACATCTCCATCTTTACAAGTTTTGAAATATAAAAAAAAAAATCCAATGGTTTTAACCTTACACCGTCGGGCTGTCAATGTCAATGTCTCTCAGTTACACGTTCTGCAGAAACGTCCCCGAATTTTCGAATACATCAAAAACATGCGATTTGTGTGCCTTTCTATTGATTTTTTCAAAGACAGATATAATTACCGTCACTCTTTCTTATTTTTTTCTCAAATCCGATCTGCAACTTGCAAATTATGTGAATTCCAACTTCTGAATATTAACTTGTATTACACATTTATAGCAATAATACGATTTTGACTTTCAGGAAAAGAAGCAGCTTATGTGTTCAACAAAGAGCACGAGAACAAGCCATTCGGCATTGATTCTTGTAAATTTAATTTCCGGTTCAAGACCTGGCATTGAGTGCTGATAGGATTGATGTATTGCTGGGTGTTCTCATGCAGGCAATTTTGAGTTTCTTTTATTTACATTATACGCTAATTCATATTGACATTGCAATGCTATGAGAAACATTGATGAAGGGGTCGTAGGAACGTTCTAAATTTTGTTCAAAATTCTTTAAATATCGAATTTTTTCAGGACAAAATTTTATATCTAATCGCAATGTATAGCCAATTAATTCAATTATGATAAAACGATATTTGAAACATGAATAATTCTACTTTAAATTACATACATTGACTAAGATTCATCCGAAGAAGTAAGATATGGTGTTCGGGCATCGAGTTTCAAACATGTACTTAATAATTACATCTTATAACATGATACATAAGATTTTGATTTTCTGAAAACAGATATATCCGCCTTCCAACGCATTAAACACAACGACAGTCCGTGACACACTGTGCTAATCTGAACTAGTCAAGTAAAAGGTGTCCTTGTCTTTGCCTTAAAATCACTCTCCTTTACAATATTGACAAACAAGGGCCTCCATTGTAAGTAAATACTAAACCGATCACTCCCTCAGGAGGTTTTCGTAATGAATTGTAATCTTATTCCTCAGACTGATTGTCCAGTAGTATGTATCCAAGTACTTCCACACAAACTCTTTCATCGTAAATTAGATGTCGAGTAATCCTCACATATAAAGAACATCGTCCGCCATTAAAATATCCACAATAACTTCAGATTTACAGGCTGTTTACAGTCATTTACTATATTCTTATCGTGGATTGAACCCACTACTCCACACACGTGGTTAAACCAGACAGGATCTCGTTAGCAGTGCTTCATTCAACAACTCACTTCCGGATACACTGTTGCATGCGGCTACACATGCTTTAGACATATCTATGTATATTTTACTTATATGTACATAATTGTACATAAAAGCTAAAAGTTCGGTCAATATGTCTGCCGATCTCGTGCTCGCCCCTTTCCACAGCGTGCCATCATGCAGGTGTGTTCTTTATAAAGGTTCATTTCATATAAGTCTCAAATCAAACAAGACGATATATATACACGCTGTACGTATAAAGATTTAAAGTTCGTAAAGAGAAGGTGATGACGCATAAATAATCTTTTAATATAGGTGTCTGTTCCAACAGAACACCTGTCGTCATTCATGTACTAAAGTTCGTAAACTTTCTCTGGGTAGAAATCCTTTATTAATTCAGAAAAATATATTTGCACATGCCTGTTTTCAGCTGATAAAGCCACAACTTTCTGCGGTGAAATACTCACTGATGACGTTTCATTAACTGTTGATTAATTGATGAAGTTTGTTCACTGATGACGATGGCTCAAAGATGACGTTGGTTTATTTGATGACGTTTGTCCACTGATGACTTTGATTTTCCGATGTCGTTGGTTCATTGGGTTGAAATCACGTCTCGGTTATAATTTGTTTATCTCTGACTGTTCAGTGATGTTATATCCTCATCATTAACAAACTCTGTTTCATAGTTACCATCTAAAGCAGTTTGTCAGACAATTAAAGAGACAGAAGGCCTAGTGATCAAGTTCTCTTCTGTCCGTTTACATGATACGTTCAATTAGTATTGTAAAATGACATCACTTAGATAACATTCCTGGATCCACGAGCGAGTTGAGCTATTATGACAGGTTTTTCTAATTCTCACTGGTTCTAAACCGAGATTCACACTGCATTGTAAACACTCAACGGCGTGTTGTCCGTTTTAAAACTCGCCTTAGTTCATTGTTTCCTGTGTGTACCTACCGTCTAACTCCGTGAATACACAGGGTACAGTACTTGAGCAAAGGAAATACAAACATGCCATGAACGACTCACTTAGAAGTTTTTATCCAAATAAATTGCATAAATATTTTGAGTGGTTGAGAAATCTTGCCTATAAAAATTCCTGTAGATTTTAAGAGATCCGCGACACCATTCATCTGCCAATATCATGCTGTCTGTTAAGCCATTAGTCAAGATACGCTGGACGTGGGATCACTCATTCAAAGATTTTAACAATAAACAGTTTTATTTTATTAAACCAGCAACCAGTGCGTGTTGTTGCTTGTTTCTATGACGCATCGAACCCGCCGATACACCTTTATATGATAATCAACATCAGGATCAGGTAGAGGCCCAGGTAAGCAATTTAAATATCCCAGGTGAAAATAGTTTCCGCCTCTGCTAGGTGTGAGAGAGTAAGGAGAGAGAGTGTGTATCCTAGCGTGTAAAAAATTAAATTCCGTTTGAGTTTGCAAAAGTCTTGTACTCGAATATGACTCGGATATGCGTGTTGTAATCACAAAACTTTAAGGATATTTTAAACGGCCAAATAAAAAAAAGATTATCACAAGGTGCCGAAATTTACCCTACCGTGTCAAAGAATGTACGGACATTCCTTTTGTTCCTCTAAATGGAAAAATCATTTTCTTGCTCAAATGAGACTTTCGTTTTTAGCTATATGTTCTATATGTGGCTATTGAAGAAGTGAACCTGGTGAACAAGGCGAGGTGCTATCTCTCCTTTCTATATCATGTGGTTATTTCGATGCCTTCTGGTGTTCATGGTAATTGTCATGGTTTTCAGATAGTTATCATATTTTGCTTGTTGTTTACTGGTGGGTAAACTTCAAAAAGATATTTTAGATGATGCGCGTTAGTTTAAAGTAGTAAAGGCACACTCACATTATTTTTTAGCGTAAGCTTACAGCTATCCGTCTTCCTGCACGCCAGACGTTTATCGAAGAATATTTACCTAACACATACACCATTGTAACCACTATTGATATCGTTTTGCTGCTTAGCATCATTTCATCGTGAAGATGTGTTATTCTTGAATCTTTTAGAGACTTAGTATTGTCTGTAACCGTAACAGTTATTCTGGTCGACCATTTATATGAATTATTAAGAAAGAATAGGCCATTTTCTTGTTGGTTCCCTTAAAGTGTTTCTTTGATAACGGTGATCTTTAGCCATTTCTGCGTTTGGAACACCTTTTATTAAGGTATGACAGCTGGCAATTTTGTACAATTATATGGAAACTTAAACTCTTCTGATTTGTTGGTAACAAGCGGTACATACGATTATTCAAATCCAATCTCAACATCTTGACCATTGTCATCAACGGCTGGCTTTTGTTTTCGGATATGTTACTAGTACCAGTGAAATTTATCCCTAGTCCCATTGTCTTCGAGGTTGTGGTGATGTTGCCTGTGGATTGAAGGGTATCAGATAAAAAAAAACCCAAGGTATTCGAGATTAAATCGTTCGTTATTCGCGGGAGTTTTTTTCTACGCTACGAAATCAACGTCCTCGCAACAAGTTAGAAATAACATACAGTAAACCTCGGATAAGTCGAAGTCGATGGGACCAAGTAAAATATTCGACTTATCCGATGGTTCGACTCAACTGTGTTTTTTTTGTCTATCGCCTGTAATCGAGACATCGTATATTTAAACTGACCCTATTTTCGCCGATCGTGTCTGATAGCAAGGTATTAATGAAAAGAACAAGACAACAAGCTGAGGATAATCTCGACTTGAGGAAATCCCAAGTTGAGATGTTTTATACAAGTGGGGCCAGGGGTATAAAATGTGTTGGAGACAGACACCGAGCTCAACATTAAGTAAACCATTACAATGGTGGTGTGTTGGTCATATAGCGTAGAAATAAGTTTATACAGTAAAAATGTCAGAAAATGATCAATCGTACATTCAGATTGTAGCTCTGACAACATTACAATTTTATCATATTTCATGGTATGAGGAGACCATGTATTTATATTAGTACATCTACCAGATACCTACATAGTATGTATGTCTGCTACATCAGCAAGGGGCGTCCAGACAATTAGTATGTAGTAGGTATGTAGTAATACGAATATGCAGAAAATGGAGACTTTTCACAACTTAGACTAATAACTTTTGTTTATTTGCCAAAATATCAATGTCGACATGATTCTTTTCCAGTCATTTCAATTACAGCGAACAATTTTAATATCTAATTGAATCCCAGTTCCGTGACAAGTTTATAATAGGTGAGATTTCGTGATATGTTTGAGATTTGGTGAGATAAGATGAGAAAGTCTGCGATTGGGACTGGGCGATATTTGGGGAGATTAAATTTAATTAGATGAGATTGAATGCGACTTGCGAAATTTGGTCGATTTTATTGAGATTAGGTGAGATTTCGTGGGGTTAAAATTGGATGATATTGGGTGAGATTAGGTGAGATTTCGTGGGGTTAAAATTGGGTGATATTGGGTGATATTGGGTGAGATTTCGTGGGGTTAAAATTGGGTGATATTGGGTGAGATTAGGTGAGATTTCGTGGGGTTAAAATTGGGTGATATTGGGTGAGATTAGGTGATATTGGGTGATATTAGGTGATATTGGGTGATATTGGGTGAGATAAATTGATATTGAGATCGAGTTTGAGTTAGATTTGTGTAATTCAATTAAATTTGTTAAAAATTGACGTGATGAGGTGTGATTTAACGAAACAGAGACTGTGTGAGATTTGGTAAGATTTAGATTTGATGAGATTTTGCGTGTTTTGGTGAGATTTTGACGTATTGTATTTGGAAAAGTAACTGCCGTTTATCGTTTTCAAAATGTTAATCTTGTCCTTAGCTTGTCTAACCGTTTTCCTCTAATTTACTTCAATCTTTCAAAAATTTGCATTTGTAGACTTTATAAGTATGACATGAGATTGTGTGTCCCTAAACGGCGGTCCAATCCAACAGTTTTGAAAGAGTTATTTCCCTTTACGTTTCCAGCTTTTAAATCGTTATCTGTGGATTCTCTGATTCAATTTTTAACTGAATTCATTCTTTGATATATTTTCTTATCACATTGTGCTGACATAATTTTCAGACAATGATTAGCTCATCACCATATTAGTAATTAAATTCGGACACAAATGCATATTTCTCTTAGCATGGGTTGTTTGTTTCCTTTTTATTTTTGTAAAGCCAGTTGTCATGTCATCTCTTTAAACTCTTTAATTTGAAACTAGTGTAGTTTCCGTATTGCCTTTTTCATTCAATTTTCTATTTTTATATATTTGTATCCATTCGACTCAGTAAACCATAAATATTTTGTAAGCATGAGGTGATCGTATATTGTTCCGCCCTGCGGTACTCCCGTTACTCTTTGCTATTTGACAGCCACTTTTCTTTTTTCTTTAATAAACAAGATTACATGTACTTTAATTAAAAAATCATATGGAAGGATTACTCATAGAGAGCAAAATAAAACGGAGGTAGCTTCTTTGATAGTGAGCCATTTGCAATTGTTGGCACTAGATCATTTTCCATATTATGACATCACAATCGATTTCTGACTGTAGAGCCAATGAAAAATTGGTATGTCACACCAGTGAAGTAAATGTATACGCGAAAATATTACATGTATATTAATTCTCTTGATAACGTGACGGATTATAGGATATCTTATATAATATGACACCACAATCGTGCTGGAATTATTTCATATTGACAAAATTTGGTCAGAAGCATTGTTGGGTGAAGGGGAGCCAAGTTAATCTTGTATTGATTATACTATAAGAACTGAAACAACCTTGAGAAAACGCCTGTTCTAATACTACGTCACTGTTTCAAAGTTATAACCCAGAAATTTAGTCCCTTGGGTAGGGCCAGACCCTAGGCCAATTTTAACATCATAAATGCGTTTTTCTTTGTCTGGCAATACTACATATGGTTATGGGGTAGGATCTCAACTGTAAAGATATAACCGACAAACTAAGTCCCAAGAGGTGGGCCAATTCTAACGTCATGATTGTGTTTATTTTAAGACCAGCAATGTTATATATGCTTATGGTGTGTTTAGTAGCCTTTAACCCAAGGGTTATTCGTTTCATAATTAGAAAATGACTAAGTGATTTTTATAATTCAACATCATCTTCGGGCCAGGTGAGCTAAAAACCTACTCCTCAAGCAGAAATGATTCCATTCTGTCGTAACTTTGGTCTAAAGCATTCTTGGTTGAAGGGGAATAAATTTTATATCAATATGTTGAACAATATTTATGTTTTTCGTCACCTGGAGCCAGAGAGGCGGTGCCAGATAAAGGTAATATAGGGAATTCTTAAAATACTACTCCTTTTGCAGAAATCACTGCATTCTGTCCAAATTTAGCCTGAAGCATCCTTTAGTGGAGGGTGATCAACTTTGTGCAAATGATAGGTTTCAGTCCCATTTGGGCGGGGACCAAAAGGAGAAATAGAGAAAATTCTTTAAAATCATTCTTCTTCTGTATGAATACCTGGATGTTGTCCCAATTTTGTCTGAAGCTTAGGTGATGTTGAAATAATTTAGTATAACTGTTTGATCTTGGTCCCCATTTGGAGTAGAACCCGATACGTGAAATAGGGCAAATTCTTTAAAATGATTCTTCCTATGTAGGAATGCCTGGATTCTGTCACAATTTATTCTTTGCTTTGGCGAAGGAGAATAATTTTGTATAAACGGTGAGCTTTGTCCCCCTTGGATTGGAGGAGTGGGATCTATTAGTGGAAATCAAGTAATTTCTTAAAAACCCTTCTTCTGTTGGAAAGATACAATTTTGTCCAGATTTGATCGGAAGGCATCATTAGAGAATAGAACTTAGTTTTGTACAGGCATTGTATGTAACCCTCTTTGGGAGGAGGGGCTGGGTGTCATAGGGGAAATGAATTCAAGTGTTTAATCAATACTAAACCAGATGAGCGATACAAATTGAGAAATATAGCACATCCTGCTAGGTTCTACACCTCCTGTAGGAATTACTTGATTTTTCTCAAATTCAGTGGAAGGCATCTTTGGGTTATGGCAGTGACATATATAACATATATATTTACGTCTCTGGTTATGGGAATCAATTTTGTATAAACGATTAGTATCTGGGGTCCCTGGGTGGGGCCTAATAGGGAAAACAGAGTAAATTTTAGAAAGTCCTATTCCTCCTGTAGGACTGATAGAATTTTGCCCAAATTTGTTCTGACATGGTCCTCGAGTAAACTGAAATACTTTTTGTATAAAAAATCTTTATCAGAGCAAATTAAACACAGAAGATTCCAACACTGTTGAGTCGAAAACTGCGTTTGTGTTGAAAATATTTTGTTGTCCATCCCTTCTAAATTCTATCAAAATTTCCTTTTTGTGTCGAACATTCACGCGTCACCTTGTCTCAGATAAAAATTTCCTGGCTTCGGTCCGAATGTGATCGGTCAGTCGCATCTGTGTTAACAAGCCCTTTAGTAAGTTTCGATCGGACATTAATCCGTGTGTTTATACAAATGCACAGGTCGGAGTTAGAATTTATACAGAATTAGGCAACCAAACTTAAAACAAAACACACTGCAGTCTGTTATCAGTAAATCTAATGTGTTTCTTCCGCATGGCTGCCGGAAACCAAGCGATAACTAGCCCGGCGATGCAGATTGATAAAAATACCAGTTTGTCGTTGACACATTTGTTTTTTTTATCTTAAATCTATATACTGATAACGAGCGCTTTGTGGTATTGTGTCTGGTAATTCAACTCCAACAAACTGCCCATGTGGATTTTGTTGACCAACTTGCGCTCGCTTTTAGGCAGTGCTCGTTTTATATTATACATGTTCATAAATCCTGAACCGGAAATAAATTTATCTTTCTTATCTTTAGTCGAGCGGTAGAGTGTCCGGTTAGAGACCGCAGGGTTGCCAGTTCGAACTCCGCCGGCAGCGAGATGTATTTACAACATTATCAATTTGTTATCACACTCATCAATATGACATAACATCAACATTTATATCATACATGGAAGAATTGTTATCAGCAGCGTCAAGTTATTTTGTTAATAAAGTAGACCTCACCGTCACTGATTTACAAAACCAATAGGTTATGTAGTTTAATAGGTTAACCCACGGACTTATATGTGTATATAAGTCCGTGGTTAACCGCATTTAACAATCTCTTTCTGTATCAAAACAATGTGTTGAAGTGGATCTAAATCTCTAGCCAATGTGCGTTTGAAAGCTAAGTAGAAATCAAGCGTCTGCTTGATCAGTATACACAGAAAATATGGCGATTTTCAGATGGTTATATCGGAAAAGGCATATACTCTTCGTGTGTTTATGCGCTTCTACATTTTGGATTGGTTATCTGTTTCTGTCGCTTCCAAATAACTCGAGTAAGTTGATATATTGACGCATATAAATTTTATTTAGCATGTTTTTTAATGCAATTCTGTGTAGTAAACATTGCAGGATGGCAACGATGATTCATGGCCGACGAGATACACATTTATAACCTCAGGCCACGGTCTAACGGTACTGCACATAAAGTAATGTGTATGTTGGGTTTGACATTCTAGGTGTTATAAGAAGTTTTCAAATATGTATGCTGTCTGAAGGAATGGCCAATCAATGACATCTAAAATCTGAAATCATTATGATATATGCCGTTGGGTTTACGTTAACATCACATGTAGGTAACAGTCCTGCATTTAAGTGACACTTACTGAAGAATGAATTTGTTACTCAACCGACGGATAATTTGAAATAGAAATACACAATGCACTTTCATATATTTGTGATATGTTGAAAATGGTCATGTATTATGACACTCCACGCAGTTATGTGCTATATTGTTTTTACACAGACATAGAGTCGATAATATATAGTATTAGAGAGAGGGTGGCCATCATCTCCTTTTTTAAATAACAGATTTAAGCCAATTTTCAGGTGGTAAGAAAATATCCACTGGAAGAGACCATATCTGTTAAAAATCTTATTGTTACCATTGAAATAAATAACAAAGAGCTTCAAACCACTCAAATTTTTATAGATCTCTATCTGATAATTGCTCTATGACAACTTTGTCATATAGTCAATGGTCAGACTGACCACCATTATAGAAAAAATGTCAAGTTTTGATAATTTTGATATAAAAGAAATTCACAATCAAAAGTTATCGATCAATGCAAGATATGCTTATTGAGTAAAATACTTTCAACAATAGTTGAAAGAAATTATTTCATATGATTCAGTACAGTTAAATTGTCAACAACTAATGTTAGTAGGAAGATGGTGGCTGTAATTATTACTTGCGAAATTGGCAGCACGAACTCATTTAGATTTCTCATACTAATGAATGTTGGATAAAATTATAGGAATACAACACATTTTAATTTACATGAAAGACAAAATGTATGGTGAACTCACATTTCATCTGTTCTACAGCAAAGGCAAGAAGATGATCCATGGCACATCAAAGATCCTACATTTATTTTATATAATTATGTTTGAACTAACTGTGAACACTTGTCATTACCCTAAAAAAGAACTCAAAACAGACTGATCTTTAATCATAATATTTATATTTGATATTCAGTCTTAATATTTGCAATCTCATTAAAAATTTATACAGATATGATGTATGTATGTAAGCATCAGCAGGCACTCTAATATTTTCATGATGCAAAGTTTTCTGCTCTTGTTAGGAGATATTAATTGTTATGTCACTATAATTTGTGTGAGAATATTATGTTGTTTTCTCATGAATTTACAACTTTCTTCCCTTGCAAACAAACTATGTAGAATTCACAATCAGAACCTCCTCAGAAGAGCAGATAACTCTGTATTACCAAATGATGAAATAAATATTTGAATAATATTGATATAATATTGCAATACAGTAATAGCTGTGTGAAGTTGTAATCTGCAAAGGTTCTTTGTACAATTTAATTTGAAGAATTTAGACACAAAAACAGGAAAATAATGAAGTGATGAGAGTATGATTTCCTTATATTAAGGAAATAGCTTAAAGCTGACCAGCAGCATGGTAATTCCAGTAATAACTAATACATGTATATACTTCAACAATGCTAATGAAACTTGTGGCAGATGCCTTGTAATAGTTTGCATAATAACGTCCGATAATAAATTGGCTGACCACCGGCCTCTTGCTAGAAGTATCTATATTTGTAGGGATCCTTACACTGCACTGTTGGTGATAATTTTTGGAAAAGTTGAGATTAGTAAATAACATAGTTGAATCAAAGATGCTGCAAAAACTAGATCATGGTAAAAGTTGCTGCATTTGATCAGGAGTTTTAAAATGACAATTTCTGATTATGTTGATTTTGTCCCACCAAACAGATAGTTACATGATATGGCTAATAAATCTAGTGATACTTATAAATAGCTTGTATGCTTGATTGGCCTGGTGGTTGTTTTAGAAAACTACAAAGTATTGTGGCATTAGGTGTAAATATTCTCAATTTTGAAGAGTTCAAAATTGATATGAGCTGTGTGAAAATTTGATCATTCAATGTTTTATAATTTGATATACAAAAACATATCATTTTCATTATCTTTTCAGATAAATCTGGAAAACCGTCATCAGTATACCCAAAGGATGTCACAATAAAATCTCCTGGGAGCAGTCTTTCTCGCACAAAGTTCTCATCACTGTCAGATACTGGTGAAGCTGAAAAGAAGGATGCTCCGAAAGAAACACCACAAATTATTGGTCCTAAAGATCAGACAGTCATTAAACCAAAGGTGGAACCGGATAAACCAGTTGAAGAAAAGAAGGAACTACTAATTAAAGAAGCTGTAAAACCACCTGTTTTAGACATTATCCCACCAGAGCAGAAAGTCAATGTCACTAAAAAGAAAATCAACGAAACTCAAACCAAAAAACAGGAAGGAATATTTGAAAATTTTGGTGAAAAAATAAAAAATAAGACTATAGAAGTTGGACAACATGTAAAAAATAAAACACTTGAAAAATTATCAGATTTAGGTGTGATTAAAAGTTTAAAAATTCCAAAATATCTAAACATTCCAGCACCATGGTCATTAAATCTATCGCTAGAAGACATAGGGAACGTCATGAAAGATACCCAGTATTTAAATAAGGAAGACAAAATAGATATAAACTATCCTAAATTATTGTCAATGAAACGAAATGTTACAGAAGGTAATGTTACAGTAGCATTAAGGAAGGTGACGATGGCTAATCGAGTGGGCTTCTGTGATTGTGTAGACTATGATTGTATGTGTTGTGCCCGTGTGACGGCCAAAAGGATGCCCTTTAATAGGACAGCATGTTCCAACATCACTTACATATCAAAGTCTCAGGTATGAGCAGCTTTTGGCAAATAGAAATAAAGTTCACCCATAAAGAAGTTTCATTTTCCAAAATAACAAAAAAAGTAAAGTATAGATGTAATATAACAAATACAGTGAATAAAGATTTAAGAACTTGATGGAGGGGAGGCAAAAAGTCTGAAACATACATTTAAGTACATCAAACTAATTATTGTAAATTTGAAGAAAACAAAATGTAATATAGATTCAAGTTATAATCTGTTCATATCATATGATTTTATTATGAATATTTTTTTCTATTTTACAGGATTTTGATTTAAGATTTTCCCTGGATGGAAAACCTCTGTACAAAGGTGTAGTCTCAGGTAAGCATTCCAAAGATATTGTGTTTCTACTTCTATACCTAGGTATATAAGAGTACATTTTATGAATTTATACTTTAAACATATTTTTTTAGGGGTTTTATTATTTTGCTGTTTTGGAAGATGGAATAAAATTACTAAACATGGACACATGTACCTCGAATATGAAATTTCTCTAGAGAAATTCTTTGACCATTTCATAAATTCCATGAAAAGATACATCCTTTTCTGCTTCAAGCTTCTGTGAAAACCACAGATATTTAAACCATCAAAAAAATTACCTGTTATAGTATGTAGGCCCTAACAGATAATAGTACATTTACCGTAGTTATGTACCAAAGGAGACTGTGCTTACTCTCTGTCCAATGTCCTGTTCACATTTCATGTACACTTTATCCTTCAATTACCAAATGCTTCCTTACATTTCATGATATGGAATTGTACCTCAGGGTATCATGAAAACTAAAAACTGTGTCAGATCTTATATCCAACTGTCTACAGCATTATTATTGACTTTACAACAATTTAAATTCATCGCATTTATCACAATTACAAAAAAAAAGGATTAAAAAAAAAATTACTAATCAGGTGTGTTGGTAATATTCCAAGCGTTCATTAATTCTAAACAGTTTTACCTGTATAACAATCACATCCTTCCCATTGTAGATGATGACAACAATTATTTTATAACTATCCAATTGTACAATGATAGGTCAGTGATCTAGAGCATTGACTAATGTTGCCTTAGATGAAGATTTGAGGTGCATAGTGTGGTACTCTCCAGTACCCAAGGTGGTTTGTTTTTCTCCAGAGACTGAGAAATGGACTAGTCTGTGTCCATGGTTAAGACAATTTACCCTTATTGTTTTGGGTGTCATACAATGGGCCTCCTGTATGTTGTTCAGTGTACTAGGAGCTACTACAAGGAGACACCACCACAAGATGATGTATCACAGCGTGATAAACACAACAAACAAACCATCCAGTTATAGATTTTAGTAAATTTGTGAGTTAACTAGACTACTCATTGAAAATCATTATTTGGCAGGTGTCCCAATTTGTTTCTGATCACAGATCATCGCCGCATATCATAAACTTCTTACTTAAGAGTAGATTGTATTACATACATCCACTGTGTGGCCCCTTGACGCTCAATGTAGTGTTTTATAGCCAATCACTATTTATAATCATGATATTGACGTATATTGTTGCCAGTCAATGCCAGCACTGTAATAATGTCTATCTTTTACAGCGGAATCGCCTCCGAAGATCTGCCTAGGCTCCCTGACAAAGGTGGCAGCACTGTGTGCTCGCTTCTTAAATTTGACCTCAACTGTTAGCGTCCATGAGGAACATAAACTGCATGTGATTGGCTGTTTGGAGTACAGCTTAACTCTCTACAATAAGACGGTCAGTGCATATCCTGTTGATTGCTTCGAGATCCCTAGCCACCAACATCACAAGAAAGAACATGAAAATCTCAGAAATTTTATCAATTTAGTGCCATGATTTTATCATTTGTATGTCTTAATGTAGTCAGTATTGATATTTCCTGAAGCTAATGCTTTTTCAAGGTAAAAATATGGAGGTACCTCAAATTGATATTATATGGATTGAAAGGTACAAATTAAATGTCTAGAATGTTTACCAGGATCCAAGATGAAATTATTGTATGTGATGAGAGTTTCCCCAGTACATGTATAGAGTGTTGCTGAAATAATCCTTACAGATTTATTTGTTACTTTCATAGTGGTTAATCAAATTAGAATTCACAAAACACAGGCAAAATCTTCTTTATGAGCTTGAGATGCTCTTCTTATGATAGGAAGACAAAGTGATCTTTAATGACAAATGCATTCAAGCATAACCTTCAGATCACTTTCCTCTAGAACACAGGTTTTAGACACACAGGTGGTGCAGTTTAATGTCTATTGGGTTAGTTGTTTTACCACCAATGCTTTTTCCCTCCAGGGTTTACCCTCTAGGTTTACCTTCATCATCCAAAATAGTTTTTTTTGTACTGACTGTGTAGTTAAAGCTCAAAAGAATTCATTTTAATTATGTTCAAACCTGATATAGGGCTTCTTAGGAAAGATGGACAGTGTTCAATGTATTTCACAAGATTTTACTTATCCGGTAAAACTGGTCATTTACTCTTAGTTGTATGCTACACCGGTCATTTTTAAATCCTTATGAAATTAACACAGTATTAAGATATCAGCAGATGTAAAATTTTCAGCTTTCATTTTCTCTGTGATCTCAAATTGTTTTTGTTTTTCACAATATTTCACATTGTCAGTTTAACTTTTAATTTTTCTATAACTTTTAGAATTAAGTAAGGAATTTGAAACAATGAAGCGAAATGTCAAGTTTTATTATGTAAATTTAATAATATGTTAAAAATAATGATTGTCAAGTTCTATGTTATTATTTGATTTGTGTGTGGAAGAGAATGATTAAAGTTTTATGTTGTTTTATTTGTGTATGAAAAATGATGCTTGGCAAAGCTTATGCTGCATGTAAATGGTTTGTCTGGGAGAATAGCTAACAATTTTTTTTACTATTAAACTAATTTTGTGTGAAAATGTTTACTAAATTAGTCTTGGTTGGAGTGAAATTATACTTTAAAGTATTTATTTGTATATAGAGAAATTTCTGATATAATTACAAGGAAGTTATTTTATTTATTTTTTGTAGTATGTTCAGGTATTATTTTGTAGCAAGATAATTTATTGATGTGTAAATATGATCATTATCTAAGTTTAGAAAAGGATGACAGAAGCAATTATAGTTTAGAGAAAAATTAACACAGAATCTGAAGGTTTAAAGTGCAAGTAGAAGAATGCGAAAATTTTGAAGTTTAGAGAAAACTAATGGAAGAAGTAGAAAGAACTAATCAAAATTGATCAAATATGTAAAATTTCAGAAGGAAAATATTATTCAAGAATTTGATGATAGTCATTTTAGTGTTCAGAATTTGAAAATTTTACTGATAATAGATCTTCATCAGAATTTGGTGTACAATGTTTATTATATGTCCACACCTATAAACTATGTATGCTAACTAGTGTCACAATATTGTTTCTCTGAGTATCATTTGAGAACACATTTTTATTTATTGATTCTTTTTTCCAAAATTTTGTGAAGCCTGGCTTGGTATATGTATTGTTAGAGTCTCCTCATATAGGTATCAGTATTTTACATAACTACTTTCCTTATTAAACAAGCTCAATAGTGAAATCAAAATTTTCTCATATCTTCATCACATGTCAAAAAGTCTATTCAGTATGGTATGACATGTGTAAATCTACTTGTCATAAGAAAACATATTGAAATCAAATGTTATATAATGGAGTTGGTAATTATTTATATCTTCCTCAAAGATCTTAAAGCTATTGTCTACTAACACTGATTACTAACCACACTCGGCATTGTTTCTAGATGTTTAACTATTTGTATGTAAATAAATTCAACATTTGTAGTTTTATATTATGCCATGAAGTATGTTTACAGAATTCTAACTGCAGAGTAATTTTGGATTTTTATGGATAAAAACTACAAAATAACAAAATATTCCTTAATACTGTCAGAAATCCTGATGATTATAATTTGATTAATTTGATTGGAACTAGTGAATGTCAACATGAGATGGAAGTGACACAAATTTCCTTGGAGTTTTATTGCTTTCTGTCTGTAACATGAATTGATGCATAATTGTCTAACATGTTTTTGACATGTGAACTACAAAACATAGAAAATAAATAGGTAAATTACACATCATGGTCAAAATATGTTTGACAGGTATGCATTTGTACTGTTGTGTTCTGCAATAAGCCCAGTGAAGTAACATAAGGCCTCTGACTCTGGGTAGACTTATTACAGGACAATGAAAAAATTATTGTTGATCTTACTACACAGCATTAGGTATGGCTGGGCTTATTGTCTAATTAATATGAAGTACTTGAGATATATAAATGATGAGCCATGGTGTGATACATTTTCAACACATTCTCTAGGACTTATACTTATTTATTAAAATGTTGAGAATGTGTTTTTTTCACTGTTTCCTAGCTGCAGTTGACCGCCTTATGTAAATCACGAAGATTTTTATTTATATGATTATTGTGAGACTCCTCTAGTGCAATTTATACAGAATATCTCTTACCTCTTACTGTTCTGTAGCTCTGTGTGGGTGAAGACTCCTCAAACCGTTTTCTCTGATATTGCAGGTAATACTTTTACTGTGTTGGATTATTTGATTCACCAAAATAGGATGTTTACATGTTGCTTTATATGTTTTGTAAATGTTGAAATTGTTTCAAAAAGAGAAATTAAAGAAGATTCAAGATAACTTTTAGATTTAAATCTAGATGTATATAGAAATGATTCCCTTTTATCTAAGGATGTAGGTTAACTGCCCTTTACCGTAAAATTCTTTGCCAAAGAAATTCCAAAACTGAAAAAAACGGTACCAAAGGATTTTTATATGGTATAGAACATAACTCTTAAGTTATAAGTGTCTTCATAAGCATTTCAGTGTATGCACACGATATATTTCAACAAGTTATGTGTTAATATCTGAACATTAATTTGAACGCAGTCAAATGTTGTATCAAGGATTCCTGATCTGGTAAAAGTTTCTGAAGTGGTTGTATTGTTGATGTTTAAATATTCTGTGTTCAGTAAATTACCACCCATTTTGTGTTACAAAGATGTAATTTGTAATGTTTGATACTCACATTATGAGAAAACAGTCGACTCATTATTATTTTTAATGTATATGATGGAAGGTACTCAACATATGTTTGTACTTGTATATTTTTAGGGGTGTTTTATGGTAACAGTTGTAACATTTACTGTAAAAAAAGTCATTTTTACAAAAGTAGAGGGAATATAGCCAACGCTGGTCTATGAAGGCTATATATACTGTGGTCTTTGGGATGGATTCTTGGATCTTAAGTTCCTCATCTGGATACCCGACAGTATGTAGGATGATTGGAGGATAAGTGATATAATTAAGCAGGCAGCAGTAAATCACAACAGGCGAAGGGGCCAGGTTCATCAATTTATTTATTGGTCAACGGGTTTCACCCAACTTTGGGCTTCTTTAGAACATTGATATTCATTACAATTTTACCCCAGAGGTACTAAATATGAGGATACCTAATTTATTGTGGTTTGATGTAGTTCAGCAATTCACTACATAAATACGATGTTCTCATCAAGAAGAATAAGATACCATTAGTATGATGGTGATACACCAATAACATTTCCATCATTTAGTCACTTCTAGAGTGAGGCAATCACCTCCTTCTCTGAAGCCTTAATCACCACACGATCAACTACACCTGTGAGAGGCAGTCAGTAGCACAAAAGGAGACTATGTTAAGGTGAACTTAATATATGGTTAAACATAGGTAGGATATATATCATCATGTAGGATATATGTTTTTTAGGAGGTATTTGGGATGAAACTAGAGTTATCTTTCTTTAATAGATGTCCGTTGTTGTGACATCATAGAAAAGCTCTATAGTTTTGATGTCTTTAAATAACAATGAATGAAGTATCCTAACTTATAATACCTTCAGGAAAAAATTGTGATTAATATGTAGGTCTTGAAAAGAAGTCTCAATTAGGGTGAGGCCAGTCGACCTATAAATGAATTGATAAACCTGGCCTCTTTGCTTGTTGTGTGATTGACTTCTACTGTCTTGATTTTTGACAAAGATGAAGTATCAACATTTTGAAATTGGTTGTTGGGTTTATCATCCTGCCATGGTCATTTTTTGGGTTTCCTTGTAGTACCTGGTGACTATCCCACTGATTACATGGGGGAGGTCATTTTGTACTTTATGGAACTATTCATATGTCATTAATGACAATTCATTGGAATCATATGTAATTTGCAAGCAGGAAGGGTTCAAAGGAGATGTTCTTATCTAATGACAGTGTGACAGAGAATTCTCACATGACAGAACTGTTAGATCTGATATGTGATGAGTATTACATGTGCTAAAGTCTAGACTCGATAGTTATATATGTAAATGTTTAAATTAAAGCTTTTTGAAGTTAATATGATTTCCATGACAGAGAGTCCTGTTGGGAGTAGTACATATTTTATCAATGGCATGTTCAAAAATCGATTATTGTAAAAACAAATTTCTATTATGATTGTGAAATCACGTTCTTGTGATATTATTGTTTTGTTTCTTTACACCTGTACATACGTTCTGTTATATCATGAGGATTAATAGAGAAATAGGAGCCTGAGTGGAGACAACGAAATCTTACCTTAAAGGTAAAGGGAGATTAGGTATCCTCTAAGGCGAAATTATACCTTTGGAGGAGACAGAGAAAGACCGTGATTTTATATCTTTGATTTTGATTGGAAATCTTAAGCAGGTAGAATGGAAATATTTCCGTGAAAATACTGAAAATATACTATATAGGATTTGACAAACCTAACCTATATTATATCCATATATATAAAATCTTGAAAAATTGATGATTTGGTGTGAAATTAGCTATCGTTCTGTAAGTAATATGCAAGTTAATGTTTTTAATTAATAACAGTGTTATAGTTTGATTTGTGTTTCAAATAAAATTTTACAGCACATCTCGTAGATTGAAATTACAGTGCATACATATATGTTAAATCACAGGAATGAAATACAGTTTTGTAAATAATTTTGCCTTTTTTAGTTGTATATGATTGTGTTAAAATCATCACCATCCAATGTCTTCCATGGTCGGTTGCCTGTTAAGTTTGATATTTTTTTTGTTTTTTTTTTTTTAATGTCTACTTTCATAATTAGATATTTGCACAAATATTCAAATTTAAGTAAATATTGCATCAGGAGAAGATTAACATAATTCTGACAGGTGTCTCCCATACCGTAGTTACCAAAGTACCAGGTACATATACTCATTGAAATAAAAGAAAATTCTCTAAAGATAGAAGCAGGCACAGCATGGTTTCATCAATCTTTTCCTGATATTTATATGGTAAAACTGATTCAAAGACATAGCTTCAAAGAAATAAAAACCATAAAGTTTTCATGAGTGTGACGGCCTTCAGATTTTGTTTGTTTTATAAGCTGTGGATTCAGTAGAGAAATTTGGAGAAACAATGCTTCAGTATTATTGAAGTATTTTTCACTAACACTACCTTCTCATGGTTAACTTTGAGTCTGGAATCTGTATTTAACAAATAATTTTATATTGAGGTTGGTATCACCGAGTGAGAAAATTAAATCTCCGGACACTGTTTCCTTTAATGACATTAAAACTTATATTTGATAATATTTGTAATTAATTTTGAAATACAAACTGTATGAATACAGGATTCTGAATTAGTCAATTTGTGAAAATGTGCCATGAATCTTTGAAGCAACTTTGTTTCACATGGAAAATGTTTCCTTTAATGACATTAAAACTTATATTT